AAAAAAAAGAAAAACAAATTAAAAAAAATAGCTCTCCTGAAAGTTCCACCTAGGAGATTCCATTTTATTTTTCCTTCGGCCAGAACATGTTCATATGACCACCTGGAATAAGGAAAGCTGAAGAAATTGTTTTTAGCTGGACGCATACCACACTGAACAGGATTGAGATTTGTTAATAAAAGAGAAGGAGAAAGTGAATATTGAGAGGACAATGGACATTATCTGCCATGCAACCTTTTATAGAAAATTTTCTAAGTTTTGGGTGCAGCAAGCATCCTATTCTTATTGGGGTCCCTGGAAGGGTCACTGTCTATGTTGAAATGCTGATGGATAAAAAGATAAGGGAGAGGCATGTCAGGCAAAGGGAATGACATGCACAAGAATATAAAAATACCATTTTGCATTCAGGAGCCTGAAAAAGTTGAATATGGTGTAGAATGTGTGTATACATGAGAATGGTAGAAGAGACTGAAGAAATTAAAATTACGAATGCCCTTGAATGACATGCTGGGAATTTGGTCTTTTTCCCATGGTTGCTGTGGCATCATTAAAGAATTTAAAGCCTGACATAGACATGAATTTATTTGTATTTTAAGAGTAGTGGAAAGAAAGTGCTACGACCTGACTTTCAGCTCCAATTCTGACACTAAATAGGGAAACACTTTTAAATAATTTTTAAACTAAATTATGAAACATATGAAAGAATATATATAGCATTGTTACAGCACTTAATGATATAATGAACTATTAAGAACCCAAGCACCGGAATTACATCAGTAACTTCCATCTATCTGTGTTCTCCCCGTGCCATTCTTTTTATCCCCTCAACAGAGTTAACTTTTCTCCTGAATTGTGTGTTTGCCATTCTTCTGCTCTTTTAGATTAAAGTTTTAGGTTAAAGATTTGCTTTCTTAGATTAAATTATTTAGTTTTGCTTTTTTTTTTTGAGCTGTATGTTGTTTTCTCAGGACTAGTGTTCTAAACGCATCATTTTATTTCCAACATTTATCCATGTTATATGATTGTAGCTGTAATCTATTCATTTTCACTGTTGTGTAACATCTGTGAGTTTATTCAGTCTCCTATTGATGAAACAATTGAATTAGTTCTAGTTTTTGCTATTACACACAGTGCTACTATGAATGTTCTTGCACATGTGCAGTCTTCCTCTAGAAAACATATCTAGAAGTGAAATTGCTTGGTTGTTAAAAAAGAGGATGTTCAGTTTTACGAGACAATGCCAATTGTTTTCCACAGTGTGAGTATACAGATTCATACTCCCATTGTTACTGTGTAAGAGGTCCCATTGATTCATAATCCCCTCTACCATTGTACTGCCAAATGTTTGATTTTTGCCAGTCTAGTGAGTATAAAGTGGTATCACTGTGGTCACAATTTGCCTGGATTGAGCATCATTGTGTTTGCTTATTTGGCCGTACACATGTCCTATTCTGTGAAATACTTATGCCCATGTTTCTAGTGTTTTATTTTTCTTTTCTTATTGACTTGTAGGAATCTTTATATATTCTAGAATACAGATAATAATGTTTTGAAATCTTTTCTTGCAGTTTATGGCTCATCTTTTATATTTCTTACTGGCAGTTTTTGAGGAACAGAAATTCTTAATGTAGAATTTATCATTCTTTCATGTTTACATTTTTGTGTCTTTACATTTCTCTCTACCCCAGAATATTTCTAATAATTTGTTCATATATTAAAAAAAACATTTTCTGTTTATGTCAGCTGGTTTCTTCCTTTTCAGTTCTTGTGCATCTAATTAATTGTTTTTGTATGACTGTCTGTGTTAAGACCTCCAGTGCAGTGACCTGTGGAAGTCATCCCTGTTGTGTTTCTATCTGATAATCAGTGTCTTTTAAATGGAAGGTGTAGTCTCCTTACATTTGCTATAATATTGATTTATTTAGACCTTTTCCTACCATTTTAATTTTATTTCTATTTGTCTTACTTTTTACTATTTTTTTCTTTTCCTGGCTTTTCTTTGATTGGATTAAGGGTTTTTTTAATTCCATTTTTCAATATGCATATTTTGGTTCTTTTAGGAATTGTACTGTGCACGTGTAACTTAAAAAAATTCAAAGTCAAACGATATTTTTACTTCCGCTTTTGAACACTGTAAGGACTTAATACACTTAAGCTTGATTCATTCGTCCTCCTGGTTCACTGTTGTTATTACTATTTTCTTCATTATTTTTTTGTTCTGTCCTTTATTTTCAGCGCACAAATTAGATAGTATTATTGTTTTTGTTTTATTCAGGCAGCACTTGTTGGATTTGCATAGATATTAACCATTTTCTTTGCTCAGCATTCCTTTAACTCAGACTGTCTTTGCTGAAATGTATTCTTGAGAAACTCCTTTCATTGGATCTCCAGTTGGCTTATGTTCGTTGGTATATTTTTGTTTGTCTATTAATGTTTTTCACTCTTGTTCCTCATGTATATTTCTGCTAGGTAGACAATTTTAGATTGCCAGTTATTTTCTCGTGGCACTTTTAAGATTTTATTCCAGAGTTTTCGATATTCTGTTTTTATTAATGAAAAGCCTCCTGTTATTTTGATTACCATCCTTTTGAATATGATCTGCCTATTCTCAATGACTTAATAAAAAGTCTTCTCTTTTCCTTGCCCTTTTACAGTTAGACTGTGTGATGGATCCAGGCAGCAATTTCTTTGTGTTTATCGTGCTTAAGATACATTATTTCATGTATTTGTGGCTTTGCATTTTTAAAAACAGTTTCTGAAAAAGTCCTAGGCATTATCTTTTTAGATGCTATCTCTCTTCCATTCTCTTTGCTCTCTTATTAGATACATGTTTGATCCTCCGTATCTCTTAATGTATTTTTATATTATTTATTTCTTGTCATTCTCTGCTACATTTCTTAGGTAGCTTTTAGAGTAAAGTGAAGCGTGATAATAGGAAGTCTTTAATGACTCAGAAGTTCCTAATCTGGGTCAGTGGGCCAATTTTGATACTACCTTCTCCCTTTTATTTTTTACTTTAAAATAAAATACACTTTTAAAAAAGTATAGCAAATTAAATATATGAGTCTGAGTACTGGTCTAAGGTGCTCAAAGCATTCTGGATTTGTATGTTGACATCTGTGTTATAAGAGATGAGAGTACTACTAGGTGATTTCATGAGTTATTTCCTCTCTAAATATACAGGAACAAGGCGTTAGCTGATTGTGTCATTGAGGCTGCAAAACACAGATGTGACAGCTAATGAAACAGCTCTAGGTACCCAAAAAATGGTAATCTAGAAGTCAATTTTTAACAGTATTAAAGACCATTAACCTGCCTATCTGGTCTCAGTGAGTTTCAGAATGATGTTTTAAATGTCAGTTTATCAAGGAAATGAAACTCTCCTGAAAATTGGTGAATTTAATTCTGTCACAGGTTAAAATAAAAAAAGACACTTGTAGGTAGAAAACAGAAAGAGATGAACATCTTAAATGTTAACTACTTTTAACCCTTTGCTACAGGATCCAGGACTTATAGGTAACTGTCATGGGTAAGATGTCATTCTGTCTTTTTTTTTTTTTTAATTTTTTATTGAATGAAAGATTCTTCAAATTCTATAGTGCTTTACAATTTTCAAAAGTTTCACACACAATTTCATATTATCCTATAATAACCCTTTTTTCCCCTACAGTTTGTTCTCTGTATCTGTGAGTCTGCTTCTTTTTTGTTTTATTCACTAATTTGTTGCATATTTTTAGATTTTACATAATATATATCACATTTCCTTAATTCAGTCATCTATTGAACTAATTAAGAGAAATCTTCATGATTGTACCACACCCTGTGGTTAACAGGCAATATTTATACTTCTCTTGTTTTTGGCAGGGTTGCTGCAAGCTGCTTCCTCAGTTACCATTCATTCTGTCTTTTATATTGCTTCTGTATATACCTTAATGCATTTGAGGAAAAATATCCTATTTGGAATTGGGATTGAAGGAGTTTATCTGTACTCTGTTTTTAAAAAAAATCTTTAAACTAATTAAGAGAAATCTTCATGATTGTACCACACCCTGTGGTTAACAGGCAATATTTATACTTCTCTTGTTTTTGGCAGGGTTGCTGCAAGTTGAATTGAAAACAAGAAAGACTTGCTTTTGGCGCCATCAAAAAGGAAAGCCAGATACCTTCCTTTCCACAATTGAAGCCATTTACTACTTTCTGGTAGACTATCATACTGATATATTAAAAGAAAAGTATAAAGGACAATATGATAATCTTTTATTTTTCTACTCTTTTATGCACCAGTTAATAAAGAATGCCAAATGCCCTGGAAACAAAGAAACAAGAAAACTTACCCGTTAGTTTTTAAGAAGTCACTTATGTCATTTTATTTTGCTAAAATCAATAAAATTATAATTGTGTTTTGTTTATTCCTAGGACATATTCATGTATAATGTCTGTAAGGTCACTTGGAAAAATAAGATTTCATTTATTTTACTTCATATTTTTTAAAAGGAGGTTGTTTCTAAGGGAGTTTTCAGAGATGGTGTTAACCAAAAAATTGATTTCAAGTTGCTCAAGTCTGACATATCTCAGTTTTATTACTGTATTTTAACATAGTAATGTTACATTTATATCTATATGACTAGATATAATTAGATATTTGTTTAGAGATCTTTATATCTTTCCACCTATACTCATAGAATCTCAGGTAATTTGCTTAAGCTTAATGGCAAACATAGGCGGAACTAGAATTGTAGCTCCAGTCCTTAGGGCTATTCCTTTAAGTCAGCACTGTCTGTGGTGGACATTTGTTGCTTTTTTCATGTGCCTGCCATCTTGTTGGGGGGGGGGATTGCTAGCAATCATGTCCTACCATAGGGATGGACATGACCCAGTTTAGCAAGCAAAGTGCCTAGTGATGGATCCAAGGATGAGCATGTGTTCCAATATCCTGTTGATAAGTAATACGGATGCTGTAGGAGATAAGGTTTATTTTTCAATAAGCAGTGGTTAAAAGCATAGACTCTAGAGCGAGACTACCTGAATGTAAATCTCAGCTTTCCTTTTCCACTTACCAGTCATATGTCAGTTTCTTCATTTCTGAAGAGATAGTAATACAGTAGCCATCTTACGGGATTATGATGAAGATTAACTGAGTTAATGTGTCTAAGGGGCTTTCAGCAGCACCTGGCATATGGTAAGTGCTATGAATGTGTTTATTCTTTTTATTGTTTTATAAAATTGTAAACTAAGCATGATATAACCCTGGAGATGCTGGTGACATCTGTGCTGCAGGTAGCAAGAACTT